AAAAAAAAAAAAAAAAACAGAACAAAAAAATAAAAATAAATAAATAACGAAACAAACATGTACCAAGATGAATTTGAAAACAGAATAGAATTTATTTTCAAACATAACATAATAAATTAACAAAAAAAAAAAGAATAAATAAATATTAATAGATCGCAAGAATATGCATACACCGATTTGTTTGTGATTCGCACCCGCTATCACATTATTTCACATTGCTTAATGGCCTAATGAATCTAAAAACAAGTTACAGTTGATTAGATGCAGTTGACTAAGGCAGATCACATATAATCATACTAATGTTCAGGTTGATAAAAAAAGAATTTTAAGCCGGTAACTTTCCATACTTGCGAGACAGGTGAGCTATTGAAAAAATGATTCGAAAACTATTTAATTACCTTCAGATGACGAAGCCTCTCGCCTTATGTATATCGTCTTGGTGACGTTGCCATCTGGGTCAGACGTTTCATACTGTTCTTGCCTTGCTAGCTGTCGAACACGTTCTTCATTTTCTGTACCGGTAAACTGAACATGAGTAATTACAGGGTCTTTGACCTTCGTAAGAACTCGCCTTGAGATCGTTTCGATGTATCCGTCGTCGAGGACTTGAGTGGTCTCAAAAGTAGTAAGAGTTGTTGGATAATCTTCAGCTTCCGTATCCAAATCCCCACTCAGTGAGTCCTTCTCAACATTGATATCTTGTAAAGCCTGCAAAACCTCGCTCGAGGTTTGCGGTATGTCAGCATCTGGAAAATCTCTTCCAGCTGATATGGTCTTTTCCTGTACAATGTCTTCAAGAGAATCCCTCAGCTCACCACCGATTTTCTCAACAGAAATAAATCCTCTTTCTCCCTCCGAGATTTTCAATTGCTGTGTGCTGATTGGATCATATATTTCTAAGGAATCTGTACTTGTTTCTAACATCGTTGGGTCGACCCGTTCAAATCCTTTTTCGATACTGTCTGTTGGTGATGCCAAAGGCGTTGAAATTTGCTTATCTTCAGATACTGGTACGGATTTGATTTCAGCAATTGAATCATGCTCTTCTTCGTCATCGTCCCTAATGCTCATATCTTCAACTTCAGATTCTTCCCTGATATCAGACAGTATCATTACTTCTTCCTGTGGAGACCCTTCTCCAATTTCTTCTTCCAGTCTTTCAAACTCAGTAAGTGAACTTTGAGAACCGTTTGTTGACCCCTTCAGTTTTCCAGAAAGGTAAAGCTCTAACTCACTACTGCTCAAACCAGCTTCACCACGATTTAGCACATCTCTTTCAATCCTCTCAAACTCCTGCAAACTGGTTTCAGAGACATTGTCACTAGAAGCATGCTTGTATTTCCCGGCTAAAGCTAGTGGATCACTGCTGTGGCCGTTAGATGAGAGACTTCTACCATTTGACGACTCGGCTTCTTCACCTTCTTCTGCAACAGTCGCTAGCTCATTTCCTGGAACCTGCTCGGTTCCAGCCCCAGTATAGAGTGGTTGGTACTCATCTTCAGGTGACAAAACTGAACCCTCCACTTTAAGAGATTGTGGAACTTCTGGCTTACTTGTGCTTTCAGACCATTCAATTTTTAATTCCGGGGTTAATCGCTCTGTAAATGTCTCAGGCTCCTCGTAAGAACTTTTGCGAGATGAACTGCTACGTTGCGAAGCACTACTTCCTCTATCGCTTTCACCTTTGTCAGAGACCTTTTCTAAGGAGTCCGGTGAAACTGATTTAGCAGTTTCAGGTGGTAGGACAGAAACGGCTTGCGCTCCACTAAGCTGGTCAGCAACTGCACCCGGCTTGGTTCCGAGTGGACTTGTGAGTGATTCAACACTGGGTATTGCATCAAGTGTTTCCGGCGAACTTTCACTGACGAAGACACTCGCTACCATTTGCAAATCCTGAGAAGTCTTAGGTATTTGTTTTTCTTCAGTGAGATCTTTCATGCTTGAAAGAATTTCTTCTTTTATTTCGTAACTGGTTTTTTCTGGAGTGCTGACTACTGATTCCTCTGTAGTTTTTTTTTCAAAATCGTAATCCACGTGTTGTTCAGAAAAAGAAGGCTTGAAGTCTTCAGGGAAATTTCTTTGATCTAAGTTTTCTTCCTCTTCTGAAGGCAGCTTTATGATTATTTCATTTGTTGGTGTCTTTTCATGTTCAGAGCTTTCAAAATTAAAATGAGTTTTTTCAAGTTCTAGAGAATCGATTTTATGAACTAATGAAAACGTTCTTTCCTCATCTAGTGGTCGTGGAGGCACAGGAGAAACGGGACGACCAGGATCCAAAACTGGTGCTAAGAGCACTCCACTTGCAGAAGTCCTTAATGTTTTTTCTTCGCTGTCCTGATAGTCTTCAGTAGAAATAAATTCATTGCTTGGGCTAAAGCTTTGTACGACTAGCTCTTCTTCTTCGTTTTCCGAATCAAGCAAGTTCTTAACAGAACCCACAGGTGAGGATGCTGCAAGTGGTGTAACACTCCCCCGTCGCCTTTCATCACTAATTTCGCTTACGCGACTTTCGTTACCACTTGTAGCTGTGGTGTATTCCGAATCTTGTGAGAAACAGCTGTCAGCAGTCTCAAAACCATCCTCCTGAGAGGTTACACAAGTTTCATAACCATCCTTTGATGTTGCTGTTCTGTATGTGGAACTAGTTTGTGATAAACATTCTGCAGTTCGTTGCAAAACATCGCTTACGATTCCCGTTGCAGAACTATTAATTCTCTCTTCATAGTCACTGTCAATCGGTTCATTGTAATTCCGATAGTATTCCATCGCTTTTTCTGTTTCGATCGATTCTAAAGGTGGAACCTTTTTGTACTCCAGTTCAAGCATTTCCAGTTTTTCTTTTAAGTCAGCCTCGTAGTCCGTTTCATGCTCATAAGAACTTTTTCGGAACATACTTATATCTTCATCAGCCCCAAAACTTTTTTCCTTGGAAAGTTGTGTAGCATCTTCATCCTCACCTTTCATAGATTTTACAACATCTTTAATTACGTTCTTGACGAGATGTTCCGAAAAGTTCTCTGTTACTACATCTGGTGGCATTTTTCTGCTCATGCTTTCTTCGGCAATTCTTAATGCGTCATCTGCTTCAGATGATAGCATACCATCACCTTGCCGTGAATCTGTAAAGCTGGAAACAAGCTCTCGGGGCAAGTCAGCATTTTTTATTTTGAGA